CCTCTGGGAATTTAACCCTGTTTGTTAGGTGTTGAATAAGTTCAGGAAGGGGGAAAAAAAAACAACAAAAAACAACACAACCCTAGGCTTGAAAAATACACTCTTAACTGAGAACTGGCTATCCATTGGCTCCTTCAAAAAATCTACCTTGTAAAACCCACAGCTGGCTCTACATAATTCACAAAGTTTCTTGCCAAAAGATTAAGATTTTCAGAATGAGTCCAGTGGTTTATGCTTACTATCCCAGCTATTTGGGAAGCTGAGGATCCTAAGTGTAAGGCCAGCCTGGGCAGTTTAGCAAAACTTTCTCTCAAGATTAAAAGGTAAGGGCTGTTGGGGTAGCTTAGTAGCAGAGCGCTTGCCTACTAGTTCCTAGCTGAGCATGGTGATGTTCATGGTGCCCTGTGTTCAGTCTCCAGTAGCACATAAAGCAAACAATAAAGGTCAGACTTGCAAAATGACAACCACAGAGTGGTAAGCCAAGAACACAAGGGACCGCATGTGACTGCACAGGCTGCTCTTTGTGAACCTGGGCTGGTAAAGCTCTTTGTCTGCTCTGACAAACAACAAATGCAAAACCAAGAAGGACATGTCACTGCTGTAACCTGGAGTTTCTGATTCTTTGATGGTGTGTCTGTTTCCATTCAGGAGTCTTCATAGAATCCAAGTTACTAAGAAATCCTCCCATGATTCATTTTTCTACCTCAGCAAAGTAGCCACATGGTACTGTGGGGTCCTGGGGTTCTGGCCCAATGACCGATACAGGCCTTCACTGAATGGCTCCTTTGAGCAGCTGTTGGATGGCAGGCACTGTTGGCTCTTAGGCCACAGTCCTGAGCAAATGTGGCATCGCTGCCTAGGAGTGTCCTCTGGTCTGGTTGGTGGAGGATAAAACAGGCAGGTAGGTGCACAGCTGTCAGTCTTGAGTGATAGTTTCCGAAAAGCATAGAACGTTAAAAGAGGATGGGACCAGGGTACCTAACTTGGTCTAGGAGAGTGGAATTGCTCAGGGAAGGCCTCCCTAAAAAGTGGTATTTCACCTGAGACCTGAGAAATAAGTAGAAAGTATCTGAGGGTACCAGG